TCTCTCTCTCTCTCTCTCTCTCTCTCTCTGTGTGTGTGTGTGTGTGTGTGTGTGTGTGTGTGTGTGTGTGTGTGTGTGTGTGTGTGTGTGTGCGTCCCTGTCTCTCACTCTCTCTGACAACAGAGGAGGATCACGTCTTCCGCCTCTCCTTGTGGTGAAGTTTCTGAGTACACCTTTCGGCGCCGTGTCACTTGTACAAAATTGCCGGTAATGAGAAGCATGCTGCCGCGTTTGACAACGAAGTGCAACATGTTTTGAAAAGGTTCTCAGCTAGAGGTAGTGAGCAGCTCATCCTCCAGGATGTAGAAATGTGACCTCTGTTGGTCAGAGCGGGCGCTGAAACAAACGAAAAGACGAAGTAAAGCGAACACAGAGAGGAGTCCAAACGTTAAAAGGGATGTAACCTCGAATCAATTGACCAATCAATCAATCAATCAGTCAGTCAATCAGTCAATCAATTAATCAATCAATCAATCAATTGCATTAATGTCACTCCCTGGTGTTTTGATGGATCGCGCCGACCACCCCTCACCTGCTCCTGCTCCTCCTTTTCCTCCTCTTTCTTTTCCACGTCCTCCTCGCGGCTTCATCATCTCACAGCTTCTCTTCCTCCTCGTCTTTGTCCTCCACGTTACCGCTCTCGCTTGTGTGACACGTGGTGCACCCAGGCATTTCTTTTCCTTTTTTTTGGCCGTTATGTTCTCCTCCTACTTCCCTCTTTCTGGTCACGTCCTTGATCTTATTCCGGTCCCTGGATTCCAACCTCTTTCTGCTCCCACTTTTCCCGATCCCGACCTCCCTCTATCCTGATCTTGCTCCCCGGTCTGCACCTCTTTCTCTTCCCGCCTTCCCTGATCCCGACCTCCCTCTATCCCAATCCCGCTTCTTTCTCATCTCGATGTCTGCTTCGGTGCCACTCCCAGTCTCCCACTAATCTGGCCTCTATCATCCCACCTTCCCCGATCCCGATCTCCCTCTCTTTCTGCTGCTGCCTCCCCAATCTCGACCTCCCTCTCCCGCAATCCCACTTCTTGCTCATCTCGATGTCTACTCCAATGCCCGCTTCCCACTGACCCGGTCTCGATCCACTTTCCCTGATCCTGATATCCCTCTATCCTGATCCTGCTCCCCGGGCCTCGATCCTCCTGCCTTCCCCGATCCCGATCTCCCTCTATCCCGATCTTGCTCCCCGCCTCGATCCTCCCACGTTCCCCGATCCCGTTCTCCCCTTATCCCGATCCTGCTCCCGGGTGTGTGTGTGTGTGTGTGTGTGTGTG